AAAGAACAGAGAAGACTTTTTTTTATTCAACGAAGTGAGAAACAAATTATTTACAATTCCTACAGCCAAAACATTTCCATGCTTCTTTTCTAATTTTCAGGTCATCCAGGTCATTTTGGAAGAGAGAATTAGTAAAACTCTTACAAAGTTGGATCTTTGAGTCAGAAGGGAAGCACTTTGTTACTCAAAAAGATGGACAGACATTTTTTTGCCTCTGATGAACAGAAAATCTTCAGAGAAAACCAGCCTGACTTGAAAATTCTTTGTGCTAGACCATTCTTACTTTTTATTACAACTTTAAGAAATACCATTTTAATTCTCTTAAGTTTAAGATCTTTTTCAGGAAATACTAAATGCAAAACTGCGTTAGCAATGCAGTCACTTCAAGTTGTCACATGATTTGGTTGGTTGACTTTATTTTAATAAATCTTCAGAAGAAAAAGTTGAAATATTTGTGGTTTGGTTTTATCTATTTCTTGTATTTTTTGTCATCAGTAAAGCTGAAGGTCTACCTGAAGTCACTGTGATAAATTTATCTGGAAGCTACAGAATAGATGAATTAATCTACCTCAATGCTGCTCTGTGTCTACCACCAGTCATTTAAAATTTAGATTTATTGCATATAGAACTTAGCACTAATTCCTGTCTCTTGAGAAATTCCTGCTTTGTTTCCCATTTCTGCAGGACACAAGAGTCAATATGTCACATATAATTCTATTAATTGAAATAAAATAGGTTGTATATAATGTTATTGATTTGTTTATGTTAGAAGCTAGGTCGTTTGAACTTGTTATATTAGCAAAGTACAAGCAGAGACTGTTATAAAGAGAAAACCTGGAATAAATTTGTATGAAATAGTAAATACAGAGTATGAAATCTGTATCTTGTATGCATCAGATTGCATGAGGAAATTCCCTGAATCAGCAGGGAAATTGGGTTTTTAAATATTTTGGAAGAGCACATCTGTAGGGAATTGACTGGGCCTGGTCATTATTTCAAGAATGGACAACTGTTTCATTATTTTAAGAAGGGACATTTCCTGAACTAGAAAAAAGCACTTGTCAGGATCTTAGCAAGTTTTCACTCCTTTTGGTTTTGGAAATCTACATTTATTTTCCACTTGCATCTACCTTCTTCCATCTCAACTCAAGCACTGAGGTGGGAATCACTATTCAAAAGGGTGGTATTACAGCAGATGTAGACAGGTCCATGTGCTAAAGGAAAAAGTAGTAATGTATGCAATTTTGCTGATAAGATTG